AAGCGTCAAAACCGTCTTCCGGCGGCGCCCAGCCGCGGGTACGTGCCGACTGAAGTGGCAGGATGATTCCGGCGGCCGAGTCTTATTGGAAATTTCACCGATAACCGGTGCTCCATTAAGGGACGGCCACGGCAGGCCAGGGAAATCGCGCGGGTTCCTGCATTAGATGCACGAATTAATGGATCGACATGCTCCCTCACGTCTGATGGATTCGCTTACCTGCAGATCTCTGCGGTAAGATAGAGAAAATTGGATCGCCTGCAACCGATTCCCTCTCGCGATTCGTCTTTCCTGGATAAGCGCGTCACGGGGTGGAGCGTTTCTTGCGGAGCCTGGGATCGCGGCTGGGGGCGGTTAATTGCCCGGTGATCGCTCGATGCGGATAATGTTGCGGTTATCGAGGGTTTTATTGTTAAATCATTGGGGTAATCCTATGGAGCCACAGAGGAAAAAGGAACGCTGGGACTAGGGCGTATCTACCTCTACCTATTCACCGTTTCAATTCAAAATTCCCGGCTATAACGCGTGAGCAATCGAAAACAAAGATAGAGTACTGTTTGACGGAAGATATTACTTGTCTCGTGCTTCAGTTGCGAATTAATCCTTTGACTATCACCCTGAAATCACATGTTTCGCTCAGGACGCCACAGGGGGTGTACCCCGATAGATGCAAGATTTGTTTTAATATTTTTTCGATTGTTCCAATAAAAATTGTTAATTGTACATGTGAGATAAACAGGGTACGCCTGTGATTCATTCCTTTGAGGTGCCGAGGCTATGAAGTCCGTCTTTATCTGGCACCAGTAGTATAAACCACGGGGAAGGAGATAATTTGATAAAGCTTTAAAACCTAAGGAAGACTAAGTACATTTATTTTATAACAGTTCAGTGGGGCACTTTTTATTTCAAAGTATCTTCCAATTAGTGGATATATTCAAAATGCACTAACTGTCAATTTTCATTCAATTTTGACAATTGTAGTTTTACAAGTAGTTGGTCACCGTGGCACCACAGGAGATACCGTGGCCGGTTATATATGACCAACGTGACAGTCAAAGTGTTAACCATGTAATTGAATAGTGAATAGAGAGAGGGAAATACTCTACTCTTATATTTTGTACCGTCTCTTGTCGTTAAACGTATCTCTGTTCGTTTTGTTATAATTTATAATTCCACATGCTCGTCATTTCAATCTAACACATCTCAACGAGCACATGAAGATTACGTACAGAGGATCGAGGAAACATCAGAGTAATCGACTGACAATGAGTCAGTTTGAACGATACTGTTGCAAGCTTGTTCCCGTACTCGACAGGAAAATGCTTGCGAATCGTTGCAGCATGTCGTATCACCGGATGACACGCAACGGAGGAATGGCACAAATGGATATACACTTTTAGAGCTGGCTCTAAACATACACGTGGCCGAAGTGCCTGCACGAATGCGGCGTTCGGCGATGAATATTTTAGTATACGATAAAAGAAGACTGTGCCGCCTATTCTCCTCTTACCGCGATAAAGTACAGTAAAAAAAGGTCATAACCGTGCGGAAAGGAAGAACTCGTGGTTACCGTGCGAGGCTTCAGAGTTCGTTCCAATTTAAATAACGAATCCCATTAGGACGAAAAGCCCTCTCCCTTCTCTGCGTCCAGTTTATTCGCAACTACGCCGCCGTTCTCCGCGATATCTGCCCCTCTGCCATACGCGGCAACCGCAATCCGGTAAACGTCCTCGGAACGAGAAATAAAAAAGGAAAATAAACGACATTCGTTGTCCCGAATCGAGTACGGGAATCTTAACCGTCGTACGATACTGTTTACCGTTTAATACGAACCTGACGTTTTATTAAGCTCACCCCCGCTCACCCCCCGTACGTTTCGCGGATTCTAGCCCGGCCTGGGCGGAGATACAAGTAATTTCGATTCGGACCCGTGTAGGGGTCAGCGCTGAGAGAAATGTTTGCTCTTCGCCGGACTTGACGAGTAATTTACTGTCACAACTTACCGGGACACAATAACGCGCAGCTTTGTTCGCGAAGGATTAATTATAACGGGGGCCGTATCACGTCCAGGTGGACGTCGGACGTGCCTGTAAACGACAGCCGTCGTATTTTCATTTCGCCGAACCTAACGACGCGACCGCAGCAACGCCGCGAATCGCGCGGTCGCTCGTATGAAATATCGTTTCGTTCCCGGTACCCCCGCGCACGCCATTTTGCCAGTCATCGGTGATTCGAGGGCTCGCGCGCCGATGCAGGCGGATCGCCAAACGCTTTCTCGCGATTGATCCGCGTGGAAAATGAAAATTCGATCGGTTGATTAGGGGCCTGTGAATAAACGGATTAAACAGACGCGAAACGAATTTCTAATTTTATGGTCGCGGTGTTTCATCGGGAACGTGGCCGCGTGTCATCGTAAAATTTAAAACGTGTACACCGACGCTGCGCGTTTAATCTTCCACCTACGGTACAGAGCTACCTGTCGGGTGTTATAATTAATTAATTTAACAATCGCACGAAACGGGGATAAATTTGATAGCGCAGCCGTGATGGCCGGCGTGCAATTATCCGTTAAGCTAATACTCGAAATTGCAATTGTAATAACCCGCCATTTTTCCACGGGCTTTTTCCAAACGGTGTCCAACGAAAGAGCCACGCCGTGCACCCTTAGACGCGGTCCCCTGTGTCCGGTGACAGAGGGCGCCACGATCGAGTGCTCGTAAGCGGATGAAAGGAAACAGTGTCTGTCACGAGTGTCGTGCGAAGGTGCAAGTACCTGGAGAGAAACGAGAGAAGCGTAGAGTCGACAGAGGGTTCCCAAATGCAATGCGATGCCTATCGATCGGTCGCCATGTGTGAAATAACTCAAATAACGCACACCACGGACCCGCGTACACCCACGTACGCGCTGCCACCACCGACAGAAGCGTTCTTTCTTGCGAGCTCGAATATTCCCGCAGACAAGGAGTACCGCGGGGGTGGCGCTAGTGTAGACGCAGAGTACTGCGAGTGGAAGTAACGCGCGTGTAACTGCGCGCTCTGTGGCCGAGCCGGATTTTTATCCCCGATCCGGCGATCGTCTCATTGATGAATACGCAGTTTTCATGAATACCATATGAGATTTGTCAGGACGCGTATGTTCGGCACGACGCGACACTCGATACGATCTCGCGATGGGATCGAGACCTGCCCGTCCTCCTCTCGCTCGAATCGTCTTTCGCGAGGGGATTTCCAGTCTGACGTCCTCGACGTCCTGGCGAAAATTTCATCGTCGCATATTATTTACGACTTACGAGAGCGAAACGAGAAAATAACGGCAGGCTTCAGAGCGGAGGTACCCTGAGCAGGGGTACCGGGTATGAGCCTGTTTGACTCGTTTCGATAGCGTGGCTCACGGTTCCGTTCCTCGGCCTGTCTTTCATCGATTATCCAGGTCTATCTCTACGATATAACGTTTCAAAGTGGTTCGAGAACGTCTCGCTGCCTTTCTTACTTCCCGACAGCAATTTAGAGATCGGCTAAATGCTAATTGGGCTTCTTTCTTGGCGCAGGCTTTTGATAGCTTTGCTGATAGCTACAACTTTTGAAGCATACCGAAGGTATACCTCTGTGTATGGACAGATTACGAATATAGAAGCCTATTTTGAAACCTAGTCTAAATTTTCGCCGTATTTAATTATACAAAGTCTTAATTATATTTGCTAGAGCTCTTGGATTTAATTAATTACGCGTAGTGGTGTTACTTTTATAATTCTTTATTACAAAACACGTGTTGGCGGTACAACGGTTCTCTAGTCTCTGTGGTTACGTTAGCGGGAGTCAAGAAAGAATAAAAGACGCCCAAAATGGCAACCGTTCACTAGATGTCATACCTATGTCCCAGATACACAAGCTTCCAACACAGGACAGCGATTTGCAGTTACCATCTTAACACAATGCATACCGATCACGAGTTTTCTCGTTTTTCTATTATGAACCTTAGATGTCAACACACTGTCTTGTCAAAACGTGCAGTCCCTGGTGTATGACCTAGAAATTTGTTAACAATATCGATTTCTATTGAATATTACATTTCTATGTGTTATTTAGTGTGTCTTATGTGTTTGTGCTGATGCTTAGTATGGCACAAGACAAAAGAGTGCTACTACAGCAGTCGTCTGTTGCTCGCCATAGAAGAATGAGGTTATGCACGTGGTGCTGTAGATGGAAATGTAGAGTGAGATTACATTAAGTATTAAATAAACTTTTATATTACCATTACAAGGAAGTGTATTGAATATTTATTCGAGCCATACTAAAATTTATTCTTTCAGTTTCGTTAAACAAAATTAGCCCTCTGCCTGACGTCTTTTCATTAAATCGTGCAAGTCGTATCTATTTCCGAGTGCCAATTAACGTAACAAACCTTCCAGATACGTAATAGCAATATTTCTTTTCATCCCCATTTATGTGACATTCTCGGTAAGCTGAACATCGATAGTCCCACCTCGAATTTTTCCAGAATATCTTTCCACGCCCTCGATCCCACTCGCAAAGAGCCGAGCAGCCAAGAATGCGAATTAATTACCGGGCACATAACCTAACCTAAAATTGAAACATTGCCACCCCATTGATCAGGAGATTTCGCGGAAAGTGCCATGGCCGAAAACCGAAAGTTAAACGCGTTACGCCTCGTTCGCCTTTCACCTCATTTCCAACTTGTCCCGCGTCAACCTTGCCGGCGAAGGGGATTAGCGCGTCGCGGTCGTTATAAAAGCCGCGAACCGATTTCATTTTATCGCGGCGCTGTCATCGGCGAATTACCGCGTAAACCGGCCGGCCGGCGGGCCAGCGTTCGAGTGGATATTACGCTGGATCTGCAATAACTGTAAGCGTTTCGGGATTTATATCGTTTCATCCTCGTGTAACCACCATATTGGCCGCTGCTTCAGAGCTGCTAAGCCCCTTACCATTCCGCCCAGCGCCGAACAATATCCGGCTAACTTATATTCGAAATGTTACAGCTCGCCATTGCCCTTCCCGCCCCCAGACTCGCCTCTCTGCAGGCCAGGCCGATCGGACCCGGCCCGCAAGCCCTGCCGATGCACTGAAAATATTGTAACCGGTTCCCACTTTTCTCTCATTCAATATCAGCCACGTTATTTATGACGTGTATTATCCGGCGAGAAATACGACAACCGCCGCCGCTTGTCGCGGTAGATTACCGGCATCGCCAAGTCGTTCCACGACGGATGCTCTCAGACGAGGCCACGCCGTGTCCTACCTTCGTGCAGTCCTCCACTTACGCAGCCGACGTGGTTTAAAGCTCGCTGGTATATTGGAAATTAACCTATTTGTACGTGGGATGAGTCATGGTCGGGCCTTTGTACAGCAATTGCCAGTTCTTCGGGGCTTTCTTCCATCGCTTAGGTTTGGGTTTGCCTTCGAAGTAAATGAAGAAGAGGATGGAAATATTTCTACTTTTCTACAGAGAAGTCATTACGCATCGTGGATGGTGGAGATTAGGGATAGGGGTAGGCAACCTAGGTGATGGTCCTTTAACCCCTTGCACTGCAATATTATTTCTAACTCGTCACCTTCTTTGTAAACAGGAACCTACTGGCGAGGTTCAGATGCGGGAATGAAAGCAGAGACGGCCACCTCTGGAGAGACAGAAGAGACAGGATATGCAGACTATGTCACAGAGAAGACTATCTCATGAGACGTATGAACAGCTGGCAGAAGGTGAGGGAAGAGAGGGAAAAATGTTTAGGAGAGATTCTAGGTGAAGGGGGGAAAGGATTAGCAGAACTAGAAAGGGTAATAGAGAAAAGGGACAGAAACCAAAGAGAAGATAAAGCAGTCGATAAGGGATGTAAATAGAGGAAGGACAAAAGTGTGAGTTTGTTGTATAGTAATCGTATATTTGTTATAAAATTATAAATTACACGCGTCTTATATAATAATTGTTCAATCTCACGCTGCTTATAACAAACTGAACTTCCTAATAACATATTGACTCTGATCCATAGCAACTGCACAACACCACGTATCCTAGATCTTCCACTCGCACTTCTAAAATCATACATATCTACATTCGTGCAATTACTCGACCTCACACACTTGCATTCACACTGATAAAACCAAATCCACACAAAGAACTCTAAGTGCAATAAAGAACAAAACAGAGTTATTAGAGTTATTGGTGGAATAGGAACTAAATATAAGATAGACTGTGAGAGTACTAAAATTTAAGATAAGATAACAAAGTATGTATGTGGAGCCGGAAGTCATCTGTAGCCGAAAGGCAAAGATTATAATAAACTATAGCGTCCTTTGTGTCAAATATCGCGATTGGAAGGTATATTTATCGAATTTCCAAAATTCGAAGAATTTCGACAATTTATTAATTTACCCAATTTTATAGTAGATGGAGTAAATGTACAGTGGTTAATTAAACTTACATACTTCTTCGATGCATAATTTTCCGTAATGAAATCGTAATGCAAGAGTTTAAACCTTTGATGAAAAGTTCTTCACTCGCCATTGTCGTTTTGGTCATTTGACTTGGCGATTTTTCCGATAATATACGTGCAATTAATTCTTCAACGTCTCCTCTTATTCCATTATATTTTCCTTCATTTTTCATGCCCCGGTTATTTGACCAGCCCTGCTGGGTTTAACGTTAAGAGAATTATCGAATGAAATATGTGCGAATTTCCTGTGTTGCGCGTGAAGCATTAAATTTCAAACGAGTCGCGAACGAATTAATAAAAGAAGAATCTCTGTAATTTCGAAGTTTCGTCGTTGGAAGTTTTGCACGGGGCGATTCGCTGGGAATAAGAGCATATCAAAATCTGCTAACTTTTACACAAAGCGGATTGACACGGTGCCAAATGTACGGTGGGAGCTTGTTCACAACGGGGCAGAGTGGATAACAAATTAATATAGACCGCGAGCCGTGTTAGACGATAGAAAACGAGAAGCGAAGCTAATAAGGATTATCTGTTTGCTCTTGAATGACGAGTGAGAGGCGAGAATAATTGCCGCAGTGTTTTCTCCCGTAGCCGTCTGTCAGACACACATTCCTTCGCATTATACTGTAAAGGTCGAAGCAAAAAGAACGATAAGGCGGAATGGAACAATGATAAGTAGGCAGTGCAAGTACTCGCTGTTCCTTTCACTCCTAAAGTAGTCGGAGAAAACACTCTGAATTAAAACATCCTTTCTTCATCTACTTCGCTATACAATGCAATTCTGTGCCAATAAAATCGTCCCCTTCTTCGACAGAGAAACACACAAAGAAACGTTCTACATCCGGTTTCTCGTAGACGAAATATACTCAGCCCTGGAGCAAGAGGCGAAATCACTGCAGATAATCGACGGTTGCATCGAAAGCACACCTGAGGGCGTCGAAAATCGCGGTTTCCTTCGGGAGGCGACCCACGGTGGACAGCAGGAGCGGTATCCAAGGTGAAAAGATTGGTCGGAGAACGGTCGTCGAATCGCTCGCAGGCCCAGCAAGAGAGAGCAGGATCCGAGACGACTGCTTTTCGGTAGTCTGCCAGAGATCCTCTCCTCCACCCCCTGGCCCTCTTCGTCCTCCGCGCTTTCTCGCAGCATCCATTCGCGTTCATCTCTCCCGTGGCCCTCCCTTTAGTTCGCAGCCGTGGCTTCATCCCTTTCGTCGCTTCTGTCCGCCTCCTCGCGGAACGATAAATTTCCCGGCTTTAAATCCCGGTCGCGGCGCGACCACGTCTCCGACCACGGCCACCGAACGATTCCGCCATTCGCCCTGCGTATATACACGCCGAGCCGAGGTACCCGCTTGTACCGACTTCGCGTGTCTTGTTTACCGGCCTGACGACATATTTATGAGGCTTACAACCGTCTCCCGCCCCGATCCAATCTCGATATTCGCGTCACCTCCCCTTTGCGCGATTCCCTATCCACCAGGCGAACCCGTTCCACGCAACCTTCGCGTTCCTCATCCACCCCGTTCCTTTCTTTCATCCAGTCCCGATTCTTGGCCGCAGTTTCCCGTGTTCCCGAATACCCTGGCGGAATTTTCCTGCACCCCGGGCTCCCGGTACTTACTCGGTATGTACTGGAAGCTTCGTGTGTACCAGAATGGGATTACCTGGTAAGCCACCGAGGCTGTCGTTAGGAATAGTCATTAATTATGACATCGTTCTCCCTCGTAGGATAAAGGATAAGCAAATTAACGCGTCACGTCCCGCGTTCGGGACTAACCCTCGGGCTAAATTTATCGGGCTCCTAGGTCGAGGCTCCTCCTCGACGACGCTGGACCAGCTTGGGGCGGAACTCGCTCGTATGCTCGTGTTCCGGTTCCGATAAGAGAACCTGTCCCTTAATTAATTCTCGCCATCAATTTTCTAACCGACCTTTCAAATATTTGCCGTGTTAAACGGTGGTTTAACGAGTCCCGCTTTGCCAGCCGGGTGGCAGTTCCTCGGGTACCTTGGAGGCAGTGGGAATCGTCATGGGAGAGGACAGCAGTCGAGACGGTCCTTCGAGGATTCGAGAGACACTGGGTAGAGAGGTCTTCCATGGTCAGCGTTTCGATTCACGGTTATCGATCATGGGAAAGTTTATTATGGGGCCATAAATGGGATAGGCCGTATCAGCGTGGCCCTTTGTGCCCGCCAGAGCGTAGGTCTATCTGGAATCCTGGTCACGAATCACTGTGTCCCCCGCGTTCTGGATTGCCAATCCACGCTTCTCGATCCAACGCGCAAAATTTACGGACCACCGTGATCGATACCCGTAATCGCGCGATCATCGAATCGGAGGAGTCCGAAACTGGACTTGGCAAAGGTTGCTGCTCTTACGAGTGTCGTTCAGATCGTGTCTCCTTTGAAACGAAGCACAGTGCGGAATTGCACCGAAAACCTGGTCAAAATCCAATTTCCCAAGCGTAAAACTGCGTTTTGCTACTGTGTCACGTTTGCTACGTACGTTTCAATGCATCAACTAAAAATGCGTGAAATTTTGAAATATAATAATTAATTTCCGAGACGCAAAGACATCGACCAAAATTGACCACGAGTCTAACCCGTGACGATTACACTGGTCCCTATCTAAAGATCACGTCTCTCGCACGTCACACTCTTGTTTGACCCGATATATTTACCACGAGTCTCATACGATATTATAGGCAACAGGGTTAAGAAATTTTGTTTCAAATATTTTTCCCATAAACTACGTTCTATAAACATAAACATTGCAATTTAATAATACAAAATAACTTCGAATTTGCTCGCGTAATTTTTTCTCCAAAATATCACAATTTTTATCCCGTGAATATAGTTAGAATTCGTAAAACGTCTATAAATTATTATATTTATAGGTAATAACAGATTAGTATTGTTAATAACAAATTGTTCACAGCGCAAATTTATCATAAAAGTGAAAAAATTAATGAATTATTGACTATTAACGCGGAAAAATAATTGTTTACGAAATCGGTAAAGTCCGGAAATTTCCGTGGATGTTCGGCCGCCCGGGGCTATATAAAGGCCGCCGCGACGGTGCTGGAGCCATTTGTCGATTCGACTTTGGAAGTGTCGCATCAAAATTTTCTTCGGTAAGGAGGTTCATTGGCTAGTCGATAGTCACTGTCCCCTCCACCTACCCCTTACCCCCTTAAATAATTTGGATCTTCCTCTTATTTTCGTATCGTAGTAAAATGGGGCCGTGGACGAAGAAACTTTTATTTATATCTTTTAATGGCTTGATTACAGGACACCGATGTAGGTTATTGCTATATTCTGTTTGCAAACGACGCGCTGCTTTCAAGCTAGGAACGAAAGTCCATAAATCAGTTCCTCTTCGACGTCACTATCGTCAGGCTGCTTCAATATTTCAGACGTTTCTGAAAGCACATGAATGCCATCATCGTAAAACAGAGAGGACAACGAGTTACAGGGCCCTGTTAATATTATCCTGTGTAAAAGAAACAGGTCAAAAATGACGGATAGAGTATTCCTTTACGGGTACGCCATTTTGTGCCATTCTTCGTTGCTCTTGTCGTAGGTACCACCGAGTACTATTGAATTTCTATTAATGAAACATATCGCGAGGTTTAAGAATAGATGCACTAGATGATGAAGGTAATATCAATCTTTCTCTAGCCAGCATCCAAATTTTAATACACCCGAAATGGCGACGTTGGCG